TCTCTCAGGTACCCAGGTCCGATGCCATGTAGGGCTTTATAGGTAGCGACCAGCACCTTGAAGTGGATTTGGAGACTAATAGGTAGCCAGTGCAGCTCGCGGAGGATAGGTGTAACGTGGGTGTCCCTTGTTGCACCCACAATTGCTCGCGCGGCTGCATTCTGGACTAATTGGAGTCATATGGTTTAGCCTCCAGACTCCTTATCTTTTTCTTCTCTGCACTCTTTCTAGATCCTCAACATTTTTTTGTATTGTGGTAAAACCAGAATTGGAAGCAGTATTATCACTTCAAGTGATCTTGAAACTAACCCTCTGTTGATGCAACTTAGGCTCCATTTAGCCTCTTTGGCAGCTGTAGCACACTTAAATGATGGTCTATTGGGACACCTACATCAACTTTCATAGTGGCTTATCTAAATGGATAGGTGTTCTGTTACCACTTTCTTGTCTGTTTTGAGTTTCATTTCTGTTCTGTCTCCTATGATGATGCTTTTGGTAGGTTGGGATATTATTTCCTTTTGCACAAAGACAGATGCAAAAAATGAATTAGTGCTTTCCAGATTAGTACTTCCAAAGAAAATTCTATAGCTTATAAAGGAATTGATTATAATTCTCATATAAGAACATCCTTAAAAAGCACTCTTCTGGTCCCTTAAAGAAAATGAATTAATGACAGTATAACATATTATCTGTAAATGAGCCACAGTTGGAAACCATCCATCTTTATCTTTTAAATGAATAGCAAACTATAAAATCTTAGGAAGACAAGAATTATCTGTATTGTAAGTGGTACATGCCTGCTATTTCAATTCTTTTAATCTACATTTTTGACATGCAGAATTTAAGATGGCCAGTGGATTTAGTAATCTAACGAGTACATTCTATCAAACCAAGCTGAAGCTCCTTAGTAACAACACACAGCAGGCAGTGACTGATATCAACTCATGGGTGAGTGAACGTACTGGTAACAAGATCAAGAAACTCTTGGATGACCTGGATTCTGATACCCAAATGGTGCTCCTCAACGCTGTCTACTTCCACTGTAAGTAAAATATTTCTAGGGATTCTGCCCTTGACATCTAACTTTCTCTGATTTTCTGTAGAAGGAAAGTGCTACAGAAAGGGGATCAATTAATCTAGAACTCACTGCCACCATCATTTTCTCTGGGGAAAAAAGAGAAATAAATAATTGTATTTCTTGTACTGAACATACTGTGTTGCTGGATCTGGGATTAAGAGTGGCAATCATTAAAGGATTAAAAATATAACAACCCAGTTATATTGTTATACTGTTATTATGTTATTAAAACACATAGAGAAATTAAACATTCACATATTGGCATGTGTTGATGAGCTTGTACAAGGCAATTGTAGTTGACCTCAGTGTGGTGCCTCCTGTCCCAGAGGCAATATGATTGATCACACTTCATGACACCAAAGGCCTCATATGGCAATTCCAGTATCTGAAGAGCCTTTTTCACCAGTTTTGTGTAAGATTCATCTGGTACTTCCAGTAGCTGAACTGCTGAATGAAATCTAGAGCAATATGAAGTCAAGTAAATGTCAGCCTTGCTTCCCTTTTATAAGTGGAGATGGAAGATTGCTTCTCAGGGCAGCTTTCACAGGTATGATTTGCATAAAGTATTTTCAAACCAAAGAAAACTTTTGAAGCATTGTACAATCCATTGTTGAGTTACTTTTACAAAAATACTAACAAGAGGAGAGAAACATGGGAGGAGGGGAGACTGTGACAATACTACTTTCCATGCTGTTATAATTACCTTCCTTAATTCTATAAGGAATTTCCTACTAAATATTGCCAAGCCAAGCTGTATCCTTATAACCTAATTACTACCTGGTTTATATTTGCATAAAACATGAAGGTTCACACAGCTTCTTGGCAGTTCAGATGCCTTACTCAAAGGAACACTAGCTATTTCTTGTGTGCCTCACAGATGCCGCATCAGATTCTTCTCTGCACCATCTCCTCTATACTGGGATGTCATTTATCCCTAATACATACTATTTCCGTTCATGTTTTCTGATACAGGAAGCAACATTAGTCCTTTGTCCCTCAGTATATTCTTATGACTTTTTTTCTTCTTCCAAGTCTTTTTGATAATCTGTCCCTCTATTGCTGACACTGTCTTTGAATATTATTATCTTCCATTCAAGCATCCCTTAGATAACTAGTCCCAGTGGCCAATGGTGACACTGAGAATTTCCTATGCACATTGAAATTCTAAGTTACATCATGCAACCTGGATTGATGCAGGAAACTTAGTTAGCTAGACCATCAAGTTGGGCCTGAACCATCATGACAGTATTGGCAAATATCTGCCATGCTGACTTGTGTCCAGTAGTAATCCAAGAACAAATCAAGTAAGTTTTGTCTAGTAATCATTTTGGTCCCCAAATTGTTCCCAAATTCTTTCATAAGGCAGCCATCCATCATTTTGAGATCATTCTTAAAATTGATTCATGCTACACCTCCTAAGAATGATGAGACTAGCAACTCGTTATTTATTTATTGAATGAATTTATATGGCTGCCCAACACATCCACTCTAGGTGGATTAAAAAATTAAAAATCCTCAATACAGAAACCCATAAGCTCACTCCACCCTCTGTTGATGTGATTCCACATTTCATGGAACCTTATTGAAATTGTTGATTAGAAGAGGAAATGGAAAGAGATGATTAAGCTTCATCCCTCCAACTGTGAAACCAAGGGATGCTTACTTTCCCTAACAGATAAAGGAAAGAATCAACCAATAATACCATTTAATTATTTGCATCTATATTTGTGGTTACACATACCCCCCTCCCTTTAAATGTTTGAAAGCATAAAACAAATGAAAAATGCAGTGGCAAGTTGCTTTGGTGTTTTTTTTCAAAGCAACATGAATGGTCAACAAGATATCAAGAACTGAGCTCAATTGAGGAAACTTTTTTTTAAACTTCATTTAGATATTACAAGTTTATATAAACTTAACCTAATTTAAATTTATTCACTATTTAAATGTTATGAGTTGAAAGGTAGACTTACCCACAAATTTAAGTTGATTGCCCTGCTTTCAGGTCAGTTTTTACTAATAATCGAACAGTGCATCTATCTAATCCTTGAAACTCATCCAGCACAATTTTCATTGGATAAATTAAAAATTTTCTTATATAGTTGGTGTGTGCGTGTGTATATTTGTGTGTGTGTGTGTGTGTGTGTGTGTGTGTGTGTGTGTGTGTGTACCCTGTTTCCCGAAAAATAAGATCTTCCCGGATAATAAGCCCAATCTGGCTTTTGAGCACATACACTAAAATAAGCCCTCCCCTGAAAATAAGCCCTCCCCAAAAATATTGCAACACAGCAGCAGCCATGAGGTGATCACTCTCGCTGCCTCCTGCACCTCAAAAATAATAAGACCTCCCTGAAAATAAGGTCAAGCGCTTATTTGGGGGGTCAAAAAAAATAAAACTCTGTCTTATTTTCAGGGAAACACAGTGTGTGTGTCTGTGTCTGTGTCTGTGTGTGTGTGTAAAGGCATGGGTGCATAAAGAGCTTCCCTCTTATCCAAGTTCTTTAACTTTTCAGCCAAATGGAAAACTATATTTAAAAAAAAGAATACAATCACTGAAGATTTCTACCGCCCTGATCTCCCTTCCATCAAGGTACCCATGATGACCAGTAAGAAATATCCAGTGACTTCCTACTTTGACTACAATTTGCAGGCTAAGGTAATGTGCACATGACAGCCTCTTTCAAGTCCCTTTTATCTGATCCATGCTTTCTATGAAGTATTCACATTCCATGAATTCCTTGACAGATAAGTTGTAACAGGGACCTAGGAAGTAAGACTTTTCTATCACAACATCTGCCCTCTGGAATCCCTGGCTGGTCCCAACCTGCTAACATTTTGTAAAGCCTTTAAAAGGTGGCAATTTTCCCATCAGGGAGCTGGGAAGTTAATTGGTTCTGGGAAATTGATGTGTCAACTGCTGATGTTTTATGTGGTTCTCAGCTGCCATCATGTGTATGTGTGCGTGTGTGTGTGTGTGTGTGTGTGTGTGTGTGTGTATGTATGTATGTATGTATGTATGTATGTATGTATGTATATGTGTGTATATATATATGACACTAAATATATACCTACTTCCCTGGCTCAGCTGATAAGGAGGAGGACCTGTGGCTTAATGGTTAAGACATCTGCCTAATGGTTAAGACATCTGCCTAAGATGTAATACAGCACAGGTTCGAATCCCAGTAAGG